TGATGATGATGATGATGATGATGATGATGAAGGTTCCGGTCTAGGGAATACCGACCGGTGTGTGAAGAAAGGCGCTTCTACGTGTAATGAGAGGAATTCTCGTCTAGATTAGTGCTAATCTACGGCCAGCTTTCCATAGAAAATCAGATCATTCAGTTACGGTGTCTTTCCGGCGCACAGTACCATAATAAAGGAAGAAGACAGTTGTGATCATTGTAGTAGTATGGAATTGGGTTCTTACACGGATCTGTGATGAACACATGTAACTCGGCAAAGCACGACTTACATAGTTGGTTAGAACTCTAACAGCCTACAACCAGTTTCGTTTTTCTTGGAACTCATCGAGTGGGTGCACTCGTCGAGTTCCCGCTGAATTGTACGTAAATGTAGTTATAAAGTAATTTGAAAACTGGCTCGCTGTTAAAGGGGCATTGAACTGGATATCAGCGGAGTCTGTGGTTTACAACAACTTTCAAGAAAGGCGAGATCAGTTGAGCGGATGGTACATACGTTCCAGCAAACGGATACGAACGAACATAGCGCGGAGTTCAGAGGTTTAAGGGAACCAGAACATCCTAGGTCAATTGACACGCATCAGTAGTTGATCCAGCCAGGATTTGCGAATATTGAACCATAGTTCGTAGCACTGCTGGTAACAGCCCAGACCAAAAACCCCGTGCTCAACAATTTACGTGGCTACATTCTGATTTCCAAGTGTCTTTTCGACATATACAATTAGCACGGCAGTGGTGACAGGTAACAGTCACTACTTTACACAGCATTGGTTTTCGATATGAATTCAACCGAAAAAGCATAGTGAGATGACACAATGTGAAAGTGTACAGTAACCTAAGTTGGACCCGGTGTATTTTAAAGACAGCACCTCATGCCTCCCGTGACAAGGCCACAGCAGGCCTTCAGTGGACAAGTCAGGTAAGACACACACATGCACGAACATAGCGAGGACAGAAATTGTTGATCGCGCATACTCCGGATATGATATGGTGCCGATTACTGAGGTTCGAACACAATGGTTGTGTGCAGTTTGCAGCAGAACAGGATATGCGAAATTGGCTTTATATATGTCGCAAAAGACGATAAAATAATCAAACAGAATCGAGCGATTTACAAATCTGGTTCGTCAGGAAGTAAACTGAGCTGGTAGTGATGTTGGAAGTACCGTTTTAAAGCCCATCACAGAGAAGTGCTGACAGTGTACAGATGTGTCACTGCGCTGCAATACGCGGCATTTTAAGCGCTGGTTCTTCCGAGTGATCTGATGGGGAAAAGGAACTCGGTTTAGGTTCCGGGGTTTGCAGCCGAATGGAGGGATTTGTCACCATAGATTGGTAGTCCATTCTTCGCTTCGCGAAACTGATATCGTGAAGGAAGTGGCTGTCGTGGGAAACCACCCAGTAGGTTGCAGGTGGTGAAGTAGAAACGTACGTTACACGATTTTGTGCACATTGGGATAGTGGTACGAATCGAGAAAAGCTATCAGGTTTGAAAACTGGCAAATTTTGGAGACTATCACTCATTCCCATGGGAAACTGTACAGCGGCACTGGGCACCGGTAACCGGCTGAAAATTAAGAAAACAAAAACAAACGTATGCTATAGGCGACAAAATAAAAGATGCACTTATCCGTTCGGTTACCCGTGGGTGAATTATCCACTCAGTCATATCCGTTGGTTCCGCTATGGCTCTTTGAACACGATTTATGGACCCCGCGAGTACCGTATCGGGCCCGTTTAGTTCGATGGGTAAGAAGTACATGGTGGGGCTTACAACCTTCGATGTAGAGTCTGACTGCATGGGTGGATTCGGTATGACAATGCCTGCTAACTAAATGATGAAGACTGATTCCAGAGATTGGTTTCTATAACGTGTATATTCGTTGGCGCAGGTAAACAGTCTGGTTGGGTAAACGATCTGATTGTGATTGGGGAAATGTGTAATCGCCTGTAATACGTGCATCCAAAAAAGGGTTTCTACTCCTCAGCCTACATTGACATCGTCTGAGTATACCGCTACAAGCTTACTGCTCAACTCAATGCTAGTTTTCAGATATGACTAAAACGCATGTGATGGATTCCATGTAGAAAAAGGATGCTAAACTTAGAATATACAGTTGCACTACGGTTAAGGATGACCAGGTCGAATAAAAGACAGTCAGTGGGACAAAAGGGAATAACTACTGCTTTAAACGTTTTGCCCTCCGATCCACATGCTTGTTTTCATCAAGCATAAAATCCAAATAATTTACTTACTTAACCTACTAACAGGACGTCCTTGCATCACGTCACGGCTAACACGGCTTGCGTTCCCCTCCCCCAACTCATAAGGGCGGACCATCAAGAGAAAACTGAGTCTTGACACGGTTTACCGTTTGTGCACTTTCAAAACCTACTAAGCAACGGAGTGTACGTATGACTATTATATCAGGGTGATCGATGGAACATGCAAGGCTGCTCTGACGGGGTCGCGCCAACCACCACAGCTTTTCGGTTAAACTTATGAGCCAAGTGCTTTTGTTGGGGATCCTAATCATCCTCCCATCTAAGTGTCAGCACCCTGGTAGTATCGTAGCTCACACCTAATCATGAATTATACACCTACAAATAACCTCATGCCAGGTCGGCCGTCGCGTGCTGACATCAACCGGGTCGCCCTACTCGTTTCATGAAGTAAGCGAAAACAGTTTAGTGCTGACACCTATTTTTCTCTTCAATATATTCGTTTTTCCCCCCATCACCCTACTTCTAGCAACATCTCTGTAGGCCAACTCTTAAGAAGTAACATCCGTTTACCGCCAATTGCCGTTAAATACAATACATACGGTTGACTCGGCCGCCACGACCAGGGACACTTCGAAATCATCTTTCGGGCCCCAACGCTCATTTAATCCGGCAGCCTTTAACGCCGACACTCTGAAACAAGACTGCCCTTGCATGTATGCCGGTTGGTGTTTTGTCTGTCTAAAACGAGGATTCAGGACCCACATCAGCTTCCACTCGCTTTTGGTTGCGTACGGCCTGGTAGGGGTTGTGTTGACCAAATCTTCACACTGCGTCAGGTACTAGAACAACGCCATACGTATAAGCGACCCACAATTCTAGTATTCCTAGGTTTCCGAGGCGCATTCGACTGGGCTGACCGGTCTGTTCTTCTTAAGACGCTTGCCTACGAAGGAATGCCCCGGGTAGGGTCCCCAAAGAAAATCCTACATTTTCCCACTGCCTCGTGGGTCAGACTTTTGAGTCAGAGGCTAGGGTCAGGGTCCCCGAACAAAACCCTACACTTGTCTACCTGGGCAGCTGTATCGATTCCGGTGGTCTTGTGAAAGATGATAATACCATCAGGGTTGAGAAGACCAGAGCAGCTTCTGTGAACCTGCGTCACATGTGGCATAGGCGTGACGTTAGCTTAGCCGTCAAGGTTCAAGTGTACAATACTGCGGTGTGCTTCATATTCCTATACGGTTCAGTAGCCTCGCCGCTGCACGCCGTGGACGTCAAAGGACTCATTGTTTGACCGAAGTGCTTCCTGGGCCTCCGCTCACAGATATCGAGTACGCAGACGACATAGCTCTTCTGGGATCTGATCCCGTTGTAATGCAAACAATATTAAATAATCTAAATAATTCTCCCTCGCGGTTCGGCATGCGCTTCATACCTGCAAAGTGTAAAGTGCTACTGCAAGAGTGGGTGGGCTCGAACCCTAGCCCCATGCTTGCGGATGAACCGATTGAGGTAGTAGACAAATTTTTTTACCTGGGCAGCTGTATCAGTCCCGGT